AGGGCGTGGGGCCCGGCTCGGCCTTTCCTCGCCTGCATCTGCCTGATGCATATACTTGTCCTCTGGGACGCTTCCTTCCCCTCTCCCCCAGGCGCTCCGAGCCATGGCGGTGCGGCCGCTTCCCGTCCTTTTCCTCGTCTGAATCCCGTCCGCTCTGTGGGTCGCGAATATCGCCGCGTTTCGTCGTCCTTTTTCTCCTTTCTAGCTCAGATGAGGTGGAGGCGATAATTGCTTGCTCAGGAGAGAGGCGTAGTCCCTCAACCAGCTGGAAGATGCAAGAATGCAAAAGGATTGTGGTTTTCAGGGTGTTTTTTGTGGACCTGTAGGTAGTGGATCTGTCCCTGGATTCAGTACAGCACAATTACTGAGGCAGCCATATTGGGATGATGATCTGACAATCCTCTGTGAGCTAAGTCAGGAGGCAGGCGTCAGGAGACAGGATGACAGGCCTGGTAGTTTTAGGGTCATTGGCAGAATATGGGTATTAAACTGAGGTTGGAGAACTGGAATTCACCAGAAGCAGATGGTGAATTTGTATCTGTTCTCTGAAACGTAAAATATGTTCGTACCAGACTTGAAAGTGTATTTCTTTTCACTTCCAGCTCCTTCTTTGCTCAGTTCTTTTTGTTGCACAATCCAGCACATTGGTGTGTTGATAAATAGCCATATGTTTATATGATCAGATTTTCAGTGCGTTGCTAAGTTCTGCACCACTGTTTTATCTGGCATCTTCAGTTAGTACAAAGGTAGCAGTCTGTAGTGTGTGAGTTCAGCTGATATATCAGACTGGCATCACTACCTGATCCTTAGTGGAGGACCTAAAATTGGATTCGCTGTGGTCCTCTTGTTCATAAACCCCTGCTGCTCTGAACAGCTGTTTTGCTAACTTTCCATATACTAATCTCTATCCTTGTTCATTTTCTTTCTTTAGAGCTGTTGTATGATTAAGTTACAAGCAATTTTTTTGTTTAAAAGTTAGTGCATTCTCTGGTAGGCATAACTATGCAAATATGACACAATGGCTGGCTATTTAAATAAAAGTGATGCTTCATTTGTGATGTGTGGTGTTTTTTTTTTTTTGAATGTAAAGATACAGATTCTGGACATTGTTTTTGTAACCACTTTGAACTTGTTGCAGACTTATCTGAATATATAATGTTAAAGTATGTCATTAAACAAATCGTCTAAATATCTTGTTTGTTTTCTGTTATTCAAGCTGACAAACCCAGTGATGTTGGTCAATCACCCTTCATGACTAAATCCCTACTCTGCTTGTAACTTTATTTCTAAAAATAGCAATATGTTCTGTATTTTGACATTGCATAAAAACTGGTTTGTCAGAACTTTCAATTACATCCAAGGATCCAAGTCTTAATGAACAGCTTGTTTCTTTAAACATTTGTGTGAAAGTCCAGATATAGTACAAGTGCTTTGAGGCCATGAAGGGTGATTGACAAACATCATTGGGTTTGTCAGCTTGAATAACAGAAAACAGACAAGGTATTTAGATAATTTGTTTAATGACACACTTTAATATTAAAACCTCACTGTGTGACTTAACAGGGTGAATGGTCGATATCTTTTAATAATAGTTCAAAATAAGTGTAAAATTAATAAGTAGGATTTGCTTTTGTGCTGATGGAGCTCACTAAACAACTCAAATCTACCACCTGTTTTAGAGCCAGTGGTATATCACGTCAAAGATTCAGGCACGCAGTTCCCTTTTTTACTTGGTTCCTGATTGGGTTCATACAGACTGAACGTTAAAAGATAGACAGCCAGTAGAATCTTTCCAAGACATTAGGAGAATGATTCATTCTAGCATGGACGGCAGCCTTCTAAGCCTATAATGAACATCTAAAAGACAGCTTCTTTTTTTTTTTTTTTTAAAGGTTGTTCTAAATCTGTACCACAGACTGTATTGCACATTTTGTTTTGCTCTGTTGCAACTTATGTCTCCTATTACTACTCTGGAGACAGCATTTTGCAGTAGTAAGTGATACTACTGGGAAGTGTGAACCCTGAAAAACCAGTTGCAATTTATTATCTGTGATGCTATGCAACTTGGTCTTATTTGGCCTTATTTTATCGTTCTGTATGATGAGGGCAATGCTGCCTTTATAAAATGTTACAAGTAGTTAAAGTTTCTGATCAGTGAAAAAAACCCTCAGAACCCCAACAACTTAAATTTATGGGAAGCTTGGAAAAATATATTGATTATGGTTAATTTTCTTATTAAGGAAAATTAAATCTTGCATAGTGAGATGGTGTTCAAAACATCTGAAATCCACGTGCAACTACAAGTAGGCATTTTGCTTACTTCAGCTATGAAAAGTAGTAGAGTTGAGAATGAATGAGGTTTAAAATTATACCATGTTTAATTTTCTATGAGCACAAAAGTTAGGGTTGGGAAAAGTTGTTAATTGCAAAAGTCTAGCTGTTAAATTTTTATGCTGTTGTAGGTGATTTTGTGACCTGTTCTGTAAGAATTTCTTCACAGCTGTGTTTCAAACAAGGCTATCATTTAGCTAGTGCATACGGAGTCTCTAGCGGTGTGCTTTTCGTGCTTGCTTATTGTGAATATGGTGTTCAGAGGTACTCAAGAATTTTTTTTAAAAGTAGATGATTCTTTCACTCCATCCTCTGTTTGCCAATTTCCTAGATATACTAGTTATCTGTAGAAATTAATGTAGTACTCTGAGAGGTATTTCTGTGAAAACATCAGAAAAAAATCTGGGACTTTTCAGTAAAAAGGGAAAATAAGCTCTCTGTGTTTCATAAATAATATTATAAGAACACATTGGTTGCATTTTTGTTTTCTTTAAAAAAAAAAAAAATCACCTTCATTAATGGCCTTACCTTTATTTGTTGGTCCTTGTGGAAAGCTGACAAAATTATGGTTTTCACATTAGTATGGATAGATGGGGAAAAGAAAGATGAGAGCCACTAAGCTGATGTCAGGTAGAGTTTCTATGATGTGCTACGCCCTATGAAAATTCCACCTACTCATCTTTCTGCAATCTGACAAAGTAAACCGTGTTACTATGAACTTGATAATAACAGAGATTTTGCACTTGATGGATTTCTTAAATTGTATTTCAGAAACAGAATGCTTAGTGGCCATATACAGTAACATTCCTGTTTCCTAGCAGCAATATTCAGCGTCAGTTGAATAATACTGCTGGGATGTATCAGGATTAGTCTTGTCACTTAGCTTTCATGTGAGGGCATGGGTACTTATGCAAGGGTCATAATAAGAAGGAAGAGCAAAAATTCCACACAGTAGATATTCAAGAAGGTTATAATGAAGTTACATGTTTGATACACTTTGTTATACAAAAAAGTAGGCACTTCTGAGCAAGAGTGAATAAAGCAGTCCTCTAAGACAACCCAGAATCTGCATTAAACTTTGAAGATCATGCGGGTTCATTCCCATTACTACTTTGCTCTCTTCTATGTTTAAGTTTTTAGTGAAACTTCTTAAAATTCTGTGCTAACCTAAAGTTGACTGTGTGGCTGTCTCATGAATCATTATTCTACCAGTTTGCTGTACCTCTGACATTGAAATTCAGTTGTCTTGTTCCTAAAGACATTCCTATTCTTCTAGTCTGGTGGGGTACCTCAGGTATTTGCTAAAATAAGGACTGCTTTAAATTATTTCTGCTTAGTGGAGTAAATTTAATTTCTGCCTTCACCGTGTGATGGCATTAATGAAGTAATGCAGTTTTATTAAAAACTTCTTGTACTGTGTGAAGATGTGTCATAACTTGAATTAAGCATGTATAACTATTTTTTACCAGCTGTAGAACTTACTTTAGAGCTGAAATGCTTCTGCTTTAGATCTGCTAGTAAGTTTTGTACTTTTGTGGCATTGTGATTACAACCCTGAAATGAGCATTTCATTGGATATGTGGTGTATAGATAACCAGAAAAGAAGATGTCAAGATTTCTGGGCCATGCACGGTGACTTGCGCACGGTAGAGTTCTGCCCATGTTAACTCAGATTCAAGATAGAAATGACTGCATTGAGTCAGACCAGAGATTCACCTAGCCCTGAATCCTGTCTTCAGCAGTGGCCGTAGCAGGTATTTAGAATATAAGGATAAATCAACCCTGTAATCATGTTTTCTCAGTATAGTCTTCCAGGTTCTGAGAGTCTGTGCCATGGTGGCTTTCCTAGCCAAGGGTGTAGCTTTTTACTAGACCTTGATGGCTTTTTCTTTGAATCTATCATATTGCTTTTTGAGTCTGTTTAAGTTCAGTACTGACAGATCCTGTGGCAGTAAGTTAAACTGCTTAATTGTAGACTGACTGAAAAACTTTCTTCTAATGGAAAAGGTTGGTCAGGGACAATACAATTGAACCAATCTCTTATTAACCCTACATTTCAATACTGTCTCAGATGTGCCTTGAAGTTTGGATTTTGGGTACTGGGGACAGTGTCCTGCCAACTAAAGTGCTTCATCATTTGGATGCAGTAGGATTTGAACAAGTATTTTGATAATGAAGATGAATTTACTGGTGAATATTTGCTGAAGATAGATAGTAATATTTACCCTGAAGGCAATAATTTTTGATTCCTCTTCTTCCTTTTGGAGTAGTGTATCCTTTAATCACTAGATATACAAGTAGTTAAAGAGTTTTTATTTCCTTTGAGAAGAGGACTTTCCCAGGACTGCAAAGGGTTCTTTAAGATTGTTGGGTACACCCTTTTCTCTGGAATGGTGTGTATTGAAAATCAGTGTGATACGGCTCATCACACTTGTGTTAGTTTTGATATTATTGCTAATGCATTGTGGCAGCAAGGGTTGACAGCTAGAGAACCTAGATACGTAGTATATGGTAGCTAGCTCATGCTGAAATCTAAGTAGCTGTATCTTCACTGCTAAAATTATCATTGTTAGGTTAAGCCTAACACATGTTGCAACCAGATCTTCATTTTGGTATTGGCATCCCTACTTTCTGGGAAGAAAACCAAGTAATGAAAACAAATATGTTTGTACACTTCAAAAGAACTGCTTCAGAATGAGTGAGTGTAGAGAGGGACAGTGTACAGGTGCTGTTAAGTGTATTTCCAGTTCTGTCTTTGAAGTGACAACTTTTGGGGGCAGGAGGGTGATTGCATAGCAGAAATTGAATTATCAAACAACCTTGAACCTCCCTAATTTTATCAACATCTTGAGTGCAATAGCTGTAAATAACTAAATTATGTTTTTCTCTTTAGAAAACACCAACAAGAAGGATAACTTGAAACACTCTTGACCCCTTCACTTTCAATTTCTTGACTGCACTACAAGCAACCAGAATGTCGGGGGCTTCAGTGAAAGTGGCTGTTCGGGTCCGGCCCTTCAATTCCCGAGAAACCAGCAAAGAATCCAAATGTATCATCCAGATGCAAGGCAATTCAACCAGTAAGTTTATTTTAATCTCGTAAGGGAGTCTCTCCTCTCCTCTCCTCTCCTCTCCTCTCCTCTCCTCTCCTCTCCCTCCCCTCTTTTTCTTTTGTTTTCCCTTTCCTTTCCCTTTCCTCCCCTTTCCCCTTTGCCCTGCCCTGCCCTGCAGGAAAAGGACCTGAAGACAATGGCCTGTTTCCCCAGAGGACTAGTCCTCTCCTCTCCTCTCCTCTCCTCTCCTCTCCCTTCTTAATCCTCCTCTTTTTGTCAGACTAAACTGTGTACTGTGTACATTATATCATCTAGAAGTACTCTTTTATGGAATCTTCTCTTCTGAGGCTGTCATTACAAACTAGATTGTCTCTGAATTTGACTAGAAAGTCTAAATCACAAGTATCTTGATTTTGATGCAGTTGTTTATGGTGTTTGCTTGTGGTGAGTTGAGAATTCTATAGAAAGATTAGAATACCAAAGTGAAAACCTTTTTGTTAACTTCAGTGTGTGGGAATGTCATGTGGACTGACAGATATAGGGATACATTGCAGACCACCACATGATAATTGTTGTGGTATAACTCCTGCTTGGGTCTGGTACTTTAGTTCTTGGTGTGCTTATTCTGCAGTCTGTGCCTTTGTTTAGGAGCATGATTTGAGTGAGAAAGCTGAGGGGAAAAGGATGTCAAGTTTTATGCTTTCCAGATTAGATGTCTAAACAACGGGAAAATAACAGGCTACATAAAATCGTCTTATTTTCTAACCAATTAGAAGTGTTAGGGTTCTTAAATAATTATTGTGGGTCTAATTTGGAGGAGAAGACTCTTCTATAGGAAACTGAATATGGGCACACCATTTATTGATTGTTTTTGGTTTTTGGTGTTTTTTTTTTTTTTTACATGCTTCTTAAGGTTGAGGCAGTATTGATACCATTTGCTGCAGTGTCGTTGGTTGTGTAGACAAATAACTATACCTATAAACTGCTCTTCTTACAGTAGTTTTTCATTGTTAGGTAATCAAGTTGAGTCATCTTGTCTGTAGTTGTAGGAAGTAACACTCCAAGAGCACTGAGTTACTTTCCTGTCTGATTACTTGAGTATTTACTCATGCTTGTTAATACAAAGGAGGTTTCATACAGGCTCCTCCCTTTTTTTAGCCGAGGTTGTACTTCAGTCTGCTTCTGCAATGGAATTTAGGTCCTGGTTGTGGTCACTTAAATTATATACAATGTTTATGGTTTCATTGGAAGAGAGCTATCATACAGAAGAGAGCTTGCTTTTCAGTGCAGTAAATCCTTATCTTTAGACCTTATGTGGAATATTGCCCGAAGAAACTTTTTTTTTTGGTTGGATTTCAAAATCTCCATTTAAAATGAGGGAGGGGAAAATGTTCAGAAGTCATCTCATGTAGAAGCAGGTCCTTGTATCCCAACGTTGCCTGCCAACTTTCAGACCAAACCAGCGTAGAATGGAACTACAGGCTCCATTAGATGGCATTTGTTATGGGACTGCCACCAAGCTCTTGAACTACAGCAGCACCACTGGGTGCTACTGTAATAGGCTGGCTTACTTACTTACTTACTGTCATGACACGACAGCAATAATTTTAGATGCTCAAGGTTTTTGAACTCCAGGAGCCTGTGGAAACAGCTTGTTCATGGTGCAACGACAAGGGTGACCAGTGAATCTCTGACAATCTGTCTATCTAAGTTTGAGACGTGGTCTTAACAAAAAACACTGGTTCTGTTTCTGAATGCTAGAGCTGCACTACAAAGACCCTTACATTTTCAAGAAACTGCATCAGCTTTCAAAAGGAGAAAAATACTTCTTGATTTATCTAGTTGGGAATTTCTTTACAGCTTTTGCTGTATTTTGTGCTCTGGAAATGTTCTGATCTGTAGCCTTCTATTTAGAGTCCTATGGCTCTGATACAAGATGGGTGATATGACAGATGGTCAGGTTTAAGTCATCAGGGGCTATTACAGACTGTGGGAAAGGAATCATCGGTTGTAATAGTTATACGTTCTTAAAACGTGTGGGCTATTTTTTCCCTGTATTTCCCTCTTAGAGGAGAAATATGGAAGAAAGCAATAGAAAGAGGAGTAATTTTACTCATTGAACAGAAGAGGATCATATAATAAAAAACATGAATAAGGCATTGTTTGGTGGGGGGAAAAAACCTGAGTGGAAATCTTTTCTCCAAAGAATCTTCCTAACGAAGTTGTCTGGTGCACATAACTTCAAGCTGAAATTCTTCTGGTATGCTTTTAGGCTACATGTTAGATTCGGGGGCATAAGTACTGTTTCTATTTCTGCCAAGGATTCTTTCTTTTTCATGACTCTCAGTCTTTGCAGCCTCACAGTTACATTATTGAACTCCTTATTATTAAGCTCTGAACTTGTTGGCTAAAAGTTAACTACAAAGTGACATTAATGTATCTGACTCTCATATCTGATGCAGCAATTTCAAAATAAAGGGAATTCAGTAGTAATTCTAGCCTGTGGAGTTCCTGCTTCATACCTTCAAATGTGCTGGTGAAATGATCAAGGCTTAGATATCTTGCCTCCGAGAAGGTTATTTTTTCTTTTGTGCACTAATCAAGTTGACAGGAGGAAAATCTGAGAGGCCAGTGATATGTTGGGTAGTGACTATTTTAAGCTTCCAAGTTCCCTTATCTTGGAATTAAAGCCTAATGGACTACTGTGATGAACAGGATTCATGAGACAGTGTGAAGTCTGATAGCTAAGAAGGGATTTTGACTGTTACTTGAACTTTAATTCTCTATGTATTGATTGGCGAAGCTCTTCTACGAATCCTTTGTGGGTCCTGAGTTTGAACTTTGTCCAAGTCTGAGTTTTGTAAATGTACTGGCTGATACAGGCAGAGACTACATTATAGTGTTACTGAGGCAAAGTGCTTAGGATTATTTTAAGGAAAACAGTATAGAGATACAGATAATAAAGTGTATCACAGGTGTACTCCATTTATGGTTTTTTAATGAATGTATGAAAAAAGGAGTGTTTTTTGACATCCATAATGAAGTATATTCTTGAAGTCAGAATGCCACCAGGGTGGCAACAGCCTGACGTGCTGCTTTTGTTTGTGAGTTTTTGTGTGAATTTGGCTGTTTACAGCTTTTGGGATTGCCTGTCATTCACCGTGGGCTTGCCAGCAAAACAAAACATCCTTCTGGGTTAGAAAGCTTATTCTCAATTTTGTTACACAGTTTAACTTTGCCTGAGAAGCAAAACAAGTGTAATTTTGTTGTGGACTTGAGGTCTCCTATGGAATTAACTTGTTATCCTATTTGGCTTTTATGTCATTTCCTCATAGATGATCAAGGTCTTTAATCAAGATCCATAGCAGATCTCCATCTTTATCATTTCTCAGTGTTTAAAAAATGGCAATGTAACTGAATACAGTTCTATATATGTCTTAATCTCAGAAAAAGAGAGGTCTTACAAAGGTCTTCAAGTGCTCCTAACATTGTGTGTTGCTGTGAGTAATTGGGACTTTTATTTTTCTGTCAGAAGGATGCAAAATATGGGAATTTTGAAATCAGTACTTGAAACATACTGTTTGTCTCTTTTTTCCCCCTTTTTTTTTTGTCTACTATACTAAGATGACAAGACTAGATTTTTTTTTTTTCCCCTCTGTTGTTGCAAAGGTATTGATCTGCAGTAATGCAGTGTCTTGCACTTAAAGAATTGTCAGTCTTTCTGTTTTTAAAATATATGTTGCAAAAATGAAATTCTGCAGTCCAGCTGAAGTCACATGTGCTGACTGCATTAAGGGGCTGGTATTTTGGCAGAAGGCCTGCGCTGCTCAGATCATATCTAATTGCAGATGGTATCCATTTGAATGATACTGCCAAAAGTTCTTCAGTGGAAATGGGAGAAGTGGGGGTAGGAGAATAGGAGATAATAGAGGAATTCTTAAAGATGGCAGAAATTAGAAGCTGCAAAATCCTACTACTTAAGTTGCTTTGGGAATGTAAAACACTTTCCAAAGAAGAGGTAATGTCACCATCAGATTACTAATTAAAAAACCCTACCAAAACAGTAACTGAGTGGGATTCATTTAAGAAAAGACCATCCTTGTTTTTTTATTATTATCACTTAGATATGATCTTAAGGAAAATAAGATTTGTTTTTAAAAACACCTGCTATGCAAGTGGATTCAATTGACCTAAATGCTTTGTTTTCATTTGGGGTTATGTTCTCAAGAGCGTATCTATATTGTCCGTTGTACAGAGGTCACTAGTAGGTATGAATGTATGCCTGTAAGTCTCATGCACATACCTACTCAGGACTAGGCACAGTATAGCTGTGTTTGTAGCATTGCCCATAGTGTAGTCAGCCGTGCCAGGGTCCCTAGTGAGAGAAGGGAAAAGTTAGTGGGCTCTGATGACTTTTCATATCGGTAGTTAATTCCCTAGGGTGATCCCTCTGTTAGCAGTCCTTACTATTGGTTAGCTTGACAGTGCCTAATATATTGTTTGTTTCATATTCTGCTTATTACAGAATATTTTCAAGTGAAACTTGGCATCAGTGGACTTTTAAGCTGCTTTTTATGGTGGTGGTTTATTGATTAAAATCCCATCTAATATTGTAACACTGAAACTTCTGAAATAACACTTTGTCTTTTCCTCTAAGATAACTTTGTTTAATTTTGTCAGTCTTTAAATAAATTTGAAAATTTATTTTCTTTAAATTACTGGGTAGGTGGTTTATTGTGTTCTAGGTCAAACTCACAAGCAGCTTTTTGAAATGAATTATTCAAGAATAGATCATGGTTGTCAGCATATCTTGATTGAATATGTTTTGTCTTTAACTTCTGCTTTTTCACTTTTTTGTTCAGAATGGTTTACACCAAGGCATCTTACCTACAATGTATTGATTACTTATTGTCTGTCCACTCCATAAATTACTGTTTTTATGGTGAGGGGGGGAAAAGATTCTGCTGTGTAGTACATGGGATGAAAGGTGAGCTATAGATCTAAGAGTATTTTGTGTGTCAGTAGTT